CCATTGTTACTCTAATTTAATATTTAAAAGATTAGAGGTAAAGGGAGGTCTTCTGTTGGTCAGCTCCCAGTCTGTTGGGCAATACAGTCTTCAAGTATAAGAGGATAAAGCATAAACCATGAGTATTTGCCATCAGCAGAGCCCCTTTCCTGGCCTAAACTTTTTGTTTCAGTCTTGTGTGCAATTGTAGGTGCGCGTTGTGTGTTGAAACAAATGGCATTACATTGAACTTTTTCATTTGTCTTAGAGAAGTTTCTTTATTCTATTTTTTAAATGCCTGCATAATATTTCATCATGTGGCTGTTTTCTAAATTATCTATCTAATGACTATTAATATGTCATCTTTTTGTGTGTGTTTTGTTGTACAGTGTGGTAATAAAATCCTTGTGTGTACATTTATAACTGTTAATTAGGTTTAATGTCTTTTTCTAATTGGTAATATAAATTCCTTGATATAAGAATTATATTCTCATATTGCTTTATAATTCCCTTTAGGATTTAGCTTATAGAACTGAGCAAATGTAGTAACATAAAACAAAAATATTTGCAAATCATTGGAGCTGTTAGTGTGTCTAGTTTCTATCACTGGTATGTTCGTTGACATTACTGCCATTAGTTTACACCTGACAGTACACTCAAACATGCAAGTCAACCTCTTTTTTTAAAAAATATTTTATTTATTTATTTTTAGAGAGAGGGGAAGGGGAGGAGAAAGAGAGAGAAACATCAATGTGTGGTTGCCTCTTACGTGGCCCCCACTGGGGACCTGGCCCACAACCAAGGCATGTGCCCTGACTGGGAATGGAACTGGCGACTCTTTGCTTCACAGGCCCGCACTCAATCCACTGAGCTACACCAGCCAGGGTGCAAGTCAACCTTTTGATTCAGTCTGCTGAAATATTACTTGTAGATTTTGATGTATAATTTTCACATGCCTCTGTTGTTGTTACTTCAGTATTTTCCTCCAAATCCAGTGGCTTTATTGCCTTTCTGATTGTAAGAATAATACATAACTCAGTCCATTTAATTTAACCAATATCAAAAAGTTTATACAAACAAACATCACAGCCATGTCTGTATCTGAATTTACAAAAATGGCATTTTGCCCTGGCCAGGTGGCTCAGTTGGTTGGAGTACTGTCCTGTACACCAAAGGCCTGCAGGTTTGATTCCTTATCAGGGCACATATCTAGGTTGCAGGTTCATTCCCCATTTGGGGCAAGTACTAGAGGCAGCCGGTTTATGTGTCTCTCTCACATCTCTCTCTCTCTCCCCCCCTCCCCTCATCCCCCACTCTCTCACCCACCCTCCTTCCCTCCCTATGTTTCTCCCTCCATTTTCCTCTCTCTAAAATCAATGAACATACTCTGTGGTGAGGAATTTTTTAAGGCATTTTTATTATGTCTGTCTTTGCCATTTTTTCTCCACTTAGTATCAATAACATTTTTCTAATGGCTCTGTAATGTGTCATATGTCTGTTTTATAATTTAGTTAGTCAAACTCCTGTTGCTAGATTCCTAAAATGTTTAAGAGTTCAGTACAGACTGAATTTATCCAATAAAAAACAGTCATCCTGGTTTGTAAACACTTCAGTCCTTGACCAAGTTCACAAAAAAAATGTCTTGGTTGTTGAACAGAACTTCTGTTCTCAACCCAACAAGCCTTTCGTGCTGATACCTGTATTCCTAGAGGGAAGAGAGATTCGGTTTCTTAAAACAGCCTCTGGAACAAAGTAGTTTGAGAACCGAGGTTCCACTGTAAGCATTTTTTCCCATTTACAGCCTAAAAATTTGAGTGTCTGTTAATTAAAATATCAATTACAAACTTACAGAACAACTTAATTATAAATTTGTTAAATTTAAAAATACAAAACTCTTCATGTGGCTTTTGACAGTCATTTTAAGTGAAAATAACAAAACATTTTGTTTGATTAGTTTGAAGCTCACTCATTTCAAAAGAGACGCTGCAGCAGCAAACACCTGTGCACTTAGCGTTCACAGCGCTACTGCACACGAGGGGGTCGGTTGGCTTTTAATAAGATGACTGTGGTCTCAGACCGTTAACATAGGCGTGCTCTCCCTTTACTCACTGGGATGATGAACGGTAGGTCATTGTTGGGGCTTATCTTGGCTTGCGTGCTTGTTTTTTATCGTAAATACTCCTGTGCGTGCCACAATGGCACAGTAGATGCTTAGTCGCCATGGAATGGGCAGGGTAAAGTATTAGCTAGGCCCTTCTTCTAGGGCTTTGGCCCCAAAACCTGTGGTGAGCCAGGCTAGACTGTAAAGTTACAGGTACTCATGGGCTAGAATAGTGAAAAGTCCAAGTAGTCTACTTTCTAGAGGAGAGGAACACTTAGGAAAACGAGAGGAGTAACTGGAAATACTGAAGATGCAAAATAGTCCACTTGTCCTGGGGTGCATCCTGACTACCCTTGCTTGTTAAGCTCGGGGCCGAATGTTCATCTCTGCCCTCTTTTCCCGGAATGGTTCATTCAACAAATATTAAGTATTCCTATATAATAGGCACAGGCATATAGTAGATAAAACAAAAATATTCTTGTCCTTGTGAGCTCACATTCTAGTGAGCTAATAATCTTTCCCCTTCTACATAAATCTTTACCCTCCCAAGGCTGTATACTATCCCTTTAACTCTACTCCTCCCACCTAAACTTGACCCACACTACAGGGGTGTAATTTTGTGCCTTTTTGGTGTTCATTTTGTTCTTGACCAGTGTAGTTGCTTTTCTTCCTTTGGTTGGTTCTGTGATGTAACTTTAAAGAGAGCATGGGTAGAAATCTAGAATTTCTGCCAAAGGGTAGTAGGAGTAGGCAGTAGATTTTTAGATTATACCCAGTGAAGCAAGATATATATGTTACTTTGAAGTTTTTTATGAGAACAGATTAGACATCAGTTAGTCAGAATAAAGATAAGGGAGATCTGTGTGCAGAAAATAGGTTAGCAGTGAAATAACTGGAGTTAGCATTATATAGTCGAAGAGGCATTTGTTAGATTAGAAATCAGTCCACCAGATTTTCCAGTAAGTACACAGTACGTTAAAAAGCCCTGGGAACCTTTTATAATTCAGTCTTTGAGGATGGTGGGGCTTGGGCCTTTTTTAAAAAAGCTTTCATCAGTAAGTATTACTTAAAAGATCCCTGGATCCAGGTTGAGAATTGCTGCACTGGATCAAAGGTATTTCGAACTGTGACACCTTAACCTTTTATCAAATAAGCATCACCTCACATGAACAACTACAGCTGTGGAAATGCTGCATACAAATGCTTAGGGAGTTGTCGGACTGATTAATGTTAAGATATACATTAAGAAACCAATTGGTTGTTGTAGCAAAGACATTAACAATGGTCTTTTGCAGTTAATGTTTTTCATTCCAGTCTTAATTTCCTGCATGTTTCAAAGAATATTAAAATTTTCTCCTATAGCCCTTTCTCAATAAATGTTGCATAATAAGAAGCTTTGACTTTCCAAACATCTATAGAAAGTTTCAGTTGCTGTTCCTTGTTGCCGGAAAACTCCTTGATTTGTTAACCCACAGACTAATGAATGAGAGTAAGCCATGCAGCCGAGAAAAACCCCGCATGCTCAGCAATACAGTGATACTTCAGAGCCGTAACTGTGATGAGGCCTTCTTTAATGGTGGTGAATATACCTTATACTTTCCCAAAGGAAGATTTTGAGGACACTGTTTACTTACGTTTTCTCTTTTGTTTCTTTACGTAATCAAGAACTGAGATAATACAGTTTTACAGAGACAGTTTTATTTATGTAGTCATGAAACTGCAGAGTTGGAAGAATAAAAGCTACCTGACGGTTGAATTCTTTCCTCAATATTCTAGAAAAATGGTTGTCTAAATTGCATTTGAATCTCTCGTTTATCTGGTAATTCAGTAACTCCTAAGGAAGCTTATTCCATCTTCAGAAAGCTTTGGTCATTCATTAGAAAGTATTTTCTTACATTGAGGGAGTTAAAATCTGACTCTGGAGTCCCTTAGGGCCATATAATCCAACTCTAGTGCATACTGAAAAGGTTTTCATGATTTGATTCTTCTCCAGCTAATTATTTCTGTTTTCTAGCTTCTTTGTATAGCTTAGCTGAAATGTGTTAGCACACAGAATGCGTTTTTTGGAGGAGAAGTGGTTTGCCTTTAAAACCATCCTTTCAGTAAGATTTGTCACTCTGCTTATACCATCCATATTTTAAAAGTTAATTTACCTCAGTCATGCTGCACTGTAAGCCTTACTCTTTTCTTTAAGATTTTATCTATTCATTTTTAGAGACAGGGGAAGGGAAAGAGGGGGAGAGGAACATCAATGTGTGGTTGTCTCTCATGCACCCCCCACTGGGGACCAGGACCCCAACCCCAGCATGTGCCTTGAGTGGGAATCAAACTTGTGACCCTTTGGTTCACAGGCCAGCACTCAGTCCAGTGAGCCACACCAGCCAGGGCAGTAAGCCTTATTCTTGATGAGTAAATCTTTTAATCTGTCTAATTTTTTGCTCTTACTTATTTATAAATTTGTCATTGTAGATATAATTAGAGGACTTAGTATTTCTTATAAATTTTATCTGGTCTGTCAGTCTTTGACATTCTTAAATCCAGTGAATTCACTATCCTTTTAATGTGAGATAGTGTACAGAATTGGTGATCATATCCTTTGTTATACATGTATCCATGTTGTTGCTAAGAGCTTTCTTCCCCAGCTTTGTTCAGATTGTGACAGGCTTTTCCTTGTCGGTCTGTTCTTAAGTACAAAAATGGTCACTGTTCCCATCTGTTGGTGGGTAAAATTGACACCTTTTGATCTGGCACCAAATTCTAATACTTATCTGTGGAATTTTGTAATTTGAAAGTCCACAAACAGAGGATCATCTGCATGTGACTTAATATATATTCTGGAGAGTACTGTGGTTATCAATGAATTTTGGGAAAATGTGATTTCTGTTTAAATAATATGTACCCTTTCTATTTTCCCTCTTAGAGAATGGATCTTGGAGAATGTCTGAAAGTCCATGACCTGGCTTTACGAGCGGATTATGAAATTGCATCCAAAGAACAAGATTTTTTCTTTGAACTTGATGTATGTGATTTTGCTTTAATGGGTAAACAGTAAAACATTTTGAATATGGATTAATTTTTCTTAATAGGAAAGGGCTGTTAGCAAAAGAAGGGCAATACTAAGTTAAGAAACATCATGAACTTCCTAACTAACAACATTTTTAAAGTGTTTATTTATTTACTTTTAGAGAGAGGGGAAGGGAGGGAGAAAGACAGAAATGTCAATGTGTGAGAGAGACATCAATTGGTTGTCTCTCACACACCCCATCAGGGGACCTGGTCTGCATCTCAGGCATGTGCCCTGGCTGGGAATCGAACTGTCAGTCTTTCAATTCTCAGGCTGGTGCTCAGTCTACTGAGCCACATCAGCCAGGGCCTAACAACATTTTTAGAAAATACAAGGTGAAACTGGGTATTTTAAGAAAATATGTAAAAGTAATTCAATTTATATATTTGTAGTCTTTTGAAAATTAACCATATTCTTCCCGATAAAGTAGTGATGATTAAGGAAGTATCAATTCAAGTAAATATAAACAACTGATTTCTAGTGCATGCAAGGCTTTTTCAATAATCTACTGAATTTTCATATTTATATTTTTATATCTGTAAATATACACATACAGAGAGGATATTAAGGACAATGTTTTTTATGTAAAACTAACAGAAGAAATATTAGAGGAGATACCATTTACGTATCTGAGGGGCTCAAAATCTGAATATATTGGGTTTTTTAAAAGATCTTTTTTGACCTGTCTGGTGGAGCTCAGTGGATTTAGGGCAGGCCTGTGAACCGAAGGATTGAGGTTTGATTCCCAGTCAGAGCACATGCCTGGGTTGCAGGCCAGTTCTTAGCCGGGGATGCACATTGATACTTTTCTGTTAATGGAAATGAAAATCGTCTGAAAACTTAATACAGACTTCTGGGCAAGATGGATGCATAAGTAGATCCACTTTGCCTCCTCACACAACCAAAAGGACAAAAAAAATTTTAAAAACAAAAAACCATCAGAACTGCCAGGAAATGTAACTGTATGGAAGTTTGACAGCCAGGGAGTTGAAGAAACATTTATTCAGACTGGTAGGAGGGGCGGAGATAGGCAGCCGGGGCAGTGGCTGGTAGACCAGGTAATCCCACACTTTGCGTGCAAATAAACCAGGAGGAACAACTGGGGAGCGAGACAGACTACACAACCCAGGGTTCCAGCACAGGGAAATAAAGCTTCAAGCCTCTGGCTATAAAACTCTGTGAGGGCTGCAGTAGTGGGAGCAACTCCCAGTCTTACAGGAGAGTTCATTGAGAGACCCACAGGGTCCAAGAACATACACAAACCCACCTATCTGGGAATCGGCACCAATTTGCTTGTGGGTATTGGGAGAAGTGACGGAAATCTGGCTGAGGCCCGAGCAAGCAGCATTGTTCCCTCTTGGAGCCCTGCCCCACATACAGTGCCACACTTCAGCTGTGTGGGTTGCCCAGGCTTGGCAAATACCTAAGGCTCCATCCCTTACTATTTAACAAGTGCCCTGAGACCCCAAAAAAAAAAATGACCTAAAAGAAAGAACAGATCAAAGCTTCAGAAAAAATACAACTAAGCAATGAAGAGATAGCCAACCTATCAGGTGCAGAGTTCAAAACACTGGTAATCGGGATGCTCACAGATATGGTTGAGTATGGTCACAAACTAGAGGATGAAGTAAAGGCTTTGAAAAGTGAAATAAAGGAAAATGTACAGGGAACCAGTACTGATGGGAAGGAAACCAGAACTCAAATCAATGGTTTGGAGCAGAAGGAAGAAATAAACATTCAACCAGAACAGAATGAACAAACAAGAATTTGAAAAAGTGAGGAGAGGTTTAGGAAACTCCAGGACAACTTTAAACATTCAAACATCCGAATCATAGGGGTGCCAGAAGGAGAAGAGGAAGAGCAACAAGTGGAAAACTTATTTGAACAAATAATAAAGGAGAACTTCCCCAATCTGGCAAAGGCAGTAGACTTCCAGGAAATCCAGGAAGCTCAGAGAATCCCAAAGCAGTTGGACCCAAGAAGGAACACACCAAGGCACATCATAATTACGTTAGCCAATATTAAAGATAAGGAGAGAATCTTAAAAGTAGCAAGGGGAAAGGAGACAGTTACTTCCAAAGGAGTTCCTATAAGACTGTCAGCTGATGTCTCAAAAGGGACCTTACAGGCAGGAAGGGACTAGAGAGAAGTATTTATTCAAAGTCAGAAAGGGCAAAGGACCTACATCCAGGATTACTAGGCTTAACACAAAATTTGATGCAGATTCGTTTATCTGCTCGCTCAATCATTTTGAATGAGACAGCCACGCATTACACATGCTTAATTAATGGCATCTATTGCCCACACTGACTGGTACAGTGAAGTTGTCAGTGTTCACTCAGACTCACCGCAGTCTACCCTTTTCACCCCTGCCCGGCTGCCAGGTTACATGAGCGTCACAAAAACTGCTCTCATACTAACAATGGCTGGACCTTTTCAGGACAGATCTCGTATGAGATTCTCTGTTTCCCATATGGCCAAATAGTGTGTTGTCAAGGTTTCTTTGCAACTTTGGTAGATGAAATGTGGAATATAACTGTAGTTTTATGTTTCTCTTATGAGTAAGTTTGAATCTATTTCATATATATTTCCTTTTCAGTGAACTTTTTGCTGTATAATTCGTTATATTTTGGCTATTGGCTAACCTTAGATTGTTAATATTTTTCTAGCTGATTTGTACTAACTTTTTACATACTGAAAATTAGTCCCTTCCCTCAGGTAATATTTTGCAGGTTTTTTTCTGTTTTTCTTTTGGTGGTTATGGGCCTTGTGAAATATTTTTATTGTCTAATTTAATAATCTTTGAAAATCTGTATTGATTAATTCAAAAGGCTTTTCCTATTCTGAAGTGATGAATTCTCTTTCATGGTTTTTCCTGGATTGTTTTTTAGATTTTATGTATTTATTCTATAGAGAGGGGAAGGGAGGGAGAAAGAGGGCGAGGTGTGGTTGCCTCTCATGTGGCCCCCACTGGGGTCCTGGCCCACAGCCCAGGCATGTGCCCTGACTGGGAATTGAACGGACAACCCTTTGGTTCACAGTCCGTGCTAATAAGTCCACTGAGCCACAACAGCCAGGGCTGTTCCGCTATTTTTATGGCTTCATTTTGTTCACTTAAATCTTTGCTCCAACTTCAGTTTATTCTGGTCTAAGGAACTGAGGTATTGATCTGGCTTTCTTTTCCAGATAGCTGCTTTTGTGATTCAGTACTATTTATTGATTAGTTCACTTTTTCTCTCTCAGTGATTTGAGATGCCACTTTTCTCTTCCCGTGAGGAAATTTTAGTAGGTTTCTGTTGTAATTTAAGAATAAAATTTTAAATTAGAAGAGTTAAGTAGCTTTTTTTAATCATCACAGAAAAAACCTTTAGGTGAGCTTCCATGCTTTTTACTTTCAAGAAATTCTTGGGTTAACTAACGGTTTTTAGAATTCAATGTGTTGAGTAAATTTATATTTTTAATTATAACCTCCGTGTTCTAAATTAGCTGTATTTTTGTACAGTAAGGTGAAACTCCAAATTGTTTAACTTGGGATTAAATCTTAAGTTTACTTTTAAATGAGCTATAATCTAATAATAGACATTAATATATGCCTGACAAATGTATTTTATATAAATATTGAAGTAGATTTTTGCAATAAAACACTGATAAAATTCTCAAGCTTTCCCGTAGCATTTTAATTTTGTATAATTTGAAAAACTGTTACATATCCATATATTCAGAAATAATTGTTAACTTATTTTTTTGCTTCTTTAGTTTACAAAGTTGGGATCTCACTGCATATAACATTTTGTGACTTTATAAGTGAATTATTAACATTTTCTTGTGTCCTAAAGTGTTCTATTCAAAACTTTTTTTAATGGCCAAACAAAATTTTTCTTAACCTGCATATTATAAATATTTATAACTTTTCACCAATAAAAATAACACTGTGGAGAATATATTTGAATATTAATTTTTTCATATATCTGATTACTTTCTTAAGACATTTCTGAAAGTATAATTGCTAAAATGGGGGACATTTTAAAGACATTTGATACCAGTTACTGTATTGCCTTTTTTGTAAAGGCTGCACTGGTTCGTGCTTCCTTCAGCAAGTATTATTTCCATTTACTCTTTCCCAATTTAATAGATGAGGAATAGTATTTTTGAGTCATAATTGCACCTCCTTATGTTATATTTTTACTTCCATAGTAGCATTTTTAAAAAGTGTAGTTTTTGAGTAAAGGTATTTCTGAAGAAACTTGATTTTTTTTTTTCCTGGTAGTAATGGTCTTTTAATTAAACTTTGTAGGCTATGGATCATCTGCAGTCATTCATTGCAGACTGTGATCGAAGAACAGAAGTGGCTAAGAAAAGATTAGCAGAAACTCAAGAAGAGATCAGTGCTGAAGTGGCAGCAAAGGTAAGAATTTCAGTCTTTCCAATAACACAAAACATAGTTTAACCTTAAATTTTTTTTATTTTTATTTTTTATTTTTTTGAAGAATTACACAGCAGCTTGCAGAGACATGCAGGGAGTTCGATGTACCTTTCCTCTAGCTTTCCCTTATATTAACATACCTTACACAACTACAGTACAGTGTCAAAGCCAAGATATTGATACTGCTCCCATCCTTGCATTTTATTCAGATTTCACAAGTTACGGTGCACTTGGCAGGGATTTGTAGCTCTGTTCAGCTTTATTATATGTGTGACTGGATAACTACTACTATAATTACATTAACTGAAGCATCATTACAGGATTTCCTCATGTTAATGACTTTATAGCCACATACCCTCCTCCCCCCAGTGCCTGGCTGTTCTCCATCTTCATAATTATTTCATCTACGATTTCATAAATGGAATCATGCAGTAGGTACCCTTTTAAGACTGGCTATTTTTACTCAACACAACTTAAGATTCGTACAAGATTTATCAGTAGTTCATTCCTTTTTATTTCTGAGAAGTATTCCGTGATATGGATATGCTGCAGTTTAATCATTGTTTAATCATTCCCGTACTGATTAAACAATGGGAGCATTTGAGTTATTCCCAGTTTCTTGGCTAATACCAGTAAAGCTGCGGTAGACATCCATGTACAGGTTTTTGTATGGATGTAAGTTTTCATCTCTGTGGGCTAAATACCTGAGTGCAATTGGCAGGTTATGTGAAAACCCGTCATTTTTAGTTTGGAAAGCAAGTGCGAACTTTTTTCTGAAGTGGCTGTACCATTTTGCATTCCTACCAGCAGTGTGTTAATAATCCCCTTTCTCCACATTTGTGAGCATGTGATGGTGTCACTTATTTTTATTCATTCTGAAAGGTGTGGTATCTCCTTTTGGTTTCAATTTGCATTTTCCTAATGACTGATGACCGTGAACATTCTTTCATGTGCTTATACGCCATCTGTGTATGTTCTTCAGTGAGATGTCTGTATGTCTTTTGCCCGTTTTCCAAATGGAATGTTCACTTTTTAACTGTCAAGTTTTGTCTATTTTATTCACTACTTTAAAAAAATGTTTTGTTGTCAACTTATACACCAAAAGTAAAGAGTATAGTGAATCCTTGTGAATTCAAAGCTGTCAGCTTTCTGTTGTTTCATTATTTAACATAGTCTGGTACATTTTATGAAAATGCAAAATGGAACCAGAGTTACCCAGCTAGCGTTCATATAATAGCATTAACTGTTGTGCTTAGATATGTGTGGACAAAGGAAAATGAATGTCCTTATTTGAGACATTCAAGGGTTACTTTCCACCAGCTTTTTCTGACAGGTCCTCTGAAGATGGGGACTGTAAATATGGGCGTCCTAAAATACAAGGTATCTGCTGTCTCATGGTTGACAGGGGTCCACAAGTGCCGGCCAGACCCCAAGCGGTACTGGTTATCCATCACTACAGATATGCTGCTTAACTACCCGAAAACTCAGTGACTGAAAACAGTGTTTTTTTAGCTCATGAATCTACAGTCAATGATGGAGGCTGAACGTGACTGGGCAGTTATTCCATGGGCTTACCCCCACGTCTTCCAGTCAGCTGGAGGCTGCTGGACTATGTTCTAAGGGAAAGAGCGGAGGTGCAGAAGCAGCAAGCCCAATGACATAAGTGCTTGTATTTCAGGACATCCCTTGTATTCTGCTTGCTACCATCCTGTTAACCAAAGCTTGCTAGTTATGTGTCCAAGTTCAGACTCAGAGTGTGGTGATACTTTGTAAAATAGCCAAGGGTGTGGAAACAGAGAAGGATGAAGAGTTTGGGGCATTAATGCAGTCATTCCATGACAGATATTTATAGAAAAGTACCACTTTGTTAAAGAGGTGATGACAGTTGTGTTGGGAATTTCTTTGAGTGAATATCTTGGTTTGAAGGAAATTCGAGAAGTAAAGAGTATTAGCACACTAGTTTGTTGGGATTGAATGTCCATGTCAAATTAGAACCTTCTTGGCTAATACAATTTGTCACACAGGATAAATACTCACTTGTGTCAAAATAAAGACTATATGTGTCAAGGGCCATTAAAAGAATGAACTAGATTCCCAGGATTATGGAGGTGCTGATGAGGAGGAAGAGGAAGCATATCAAATTCCAAGGCAAGAATTAATCTCAGTGGAAAGACATGGACTAAGGGAGAAGAGGTGCCTGCTGATACACTAAAAGTCAGTAATGTGCTGCACAGTGTATGTACAAGGCACATTTTCTCATGTCTCAAGCTCTGCGAGACAGATCCTAATTCCAACTTCTAGGATGAGGAAACAGATTCGGGTAAGCAGTAATATGACCAAAATTGCACACCTGGTAATTAATTTGGCCATAAGCCAGATCTTTCGGGCTCTAAAGCCTTACTTTAGCTTGGAAGAATATTCTCCACTTTATTTCTTTAACTCATTTGAGCTTAGGCTGTTTGTTTGGCATTGGAAGTACAAAGAAAATATGAACAGCTATCTGTAAAGCGGTGTGATGCATATAAAAATTGTCATAAAAGACACAGGTAGCACAAAAGAGGGTAAGGTGTGGGTCTCTGTTTCTGTGTTTAAGTGAAGGTGAGATGTGGTGCTTGATCAAGAACGCCTTACAGAATAGACTCAAGTTGGACCTTGATGAATGAATAGATACTCATTAGGCAGGCAGGGGAGGTAAAGGGGGACATCTCAGGAGGGGGGAACAGTATGTGCAAAGTCACAGAGGCAAAAAGCAACATGGCAAGTTTGGGAAACTAAATTTTGTTGTTAACCGGGGAAACAGCAAGCCATGGTTTAGAAAGGCGAAGATTGCAGAAGAACAGGTATTTTAAACTTGGAATACATTGCCAAAGCAGAGGTTGGAAAGTAATAGTTACATAGAGATCAGATGTATTTCTGACTGCACCAAAGTGAAGGCAGGCTGAAAACATCTTAATGGTTCATGCATTCATTTATGATGTGCTCAGAAAGCATTATTTATATCATGTTGCCTTAGATAACTTAAGTCTCTTCTGAGCATTTCTGAAATATTTTGAACTTTGATACTTTCTCTGCTGTTATTCATGATTTTCTTTTCTGTTTCTTTCTAGGCAGAACGTGTACATGAGTTAAATGAAGAAATTGGTAAATTGTTGGCCAAGGTGGAACAACTTGGAGCTGAAGGGAATGTCGAAGAATCCCAGAAAGTAATGGATGAAGTAGAGAAAGCACGGGCAAAGAAGAGAGAGGCAGAGGTAACGAAATTCTTAATGTTGGTGTGCAGAGCCTTCGTGTCTACTTACAGAATATATATTTTAGGGGGAACATTGAGAAGTTGTTACTATTAAGAAGGAATTAAATCAACTTAAAGATATTTAATTCATGTCATACTAGTGGATATGTACAAAATTAGTGATTTGGGGAATTTAGAGCCATTGATATGATGAAATTAACTAAACTAGCTAGTTACATACAACTGATGCACATCCACTGTATGTACCTGGTCGCTGTGATACCCTGTCCCCCATTCTCCTCCCATACAACTATAGCACCCTCCCATCTCTTCCCACCTTAGGACAATCTGCTAGCACCTTAGAGAGCCTCCTTTCATCTTCCTGCACAGCAGAGGTTAAAATCTGACCTGCAGATGCAGCTGTGTTTGGTTTGGCTCAAAATTCTATTTTGATGTTTAGAAAATTGATTACCTACATAAGGGATTGTATTCTCCACTTTCACAGTAGTCTTTATTGCTTCTAGCTAGCTGCCTTTCAATTGGGGTTAATTTGTTACTATAGCCTGAAGGTGGGAGCTTAGGTCATTGATTTTAGACCGTTTAATGCTGTAAGTTTTCTTCTAAGCACAACTGTAGTTGCATCTCACAGATTTTCATGTTGTGTTTTCATTTTAATTCAGTTCAAAATACTGCATATTTGCTAGTACTACTTGCAATTTCTTCTTTGACCCTATGGGTTGTCAAGGAATGTGTTCAGTTTTTAAATACTTGGTGATTTTCCCAAAATTTTTTTGTTGTTACTGATTTTAATTTAATTCTGTTATGGTTAGAAAATGTTATTGTGATTACTTTTCTCTAAAATGTTATCTTCAATATGTCAACTTGTTTTGTAGTCCTATATATGGTCTGTCTGGTGAATTTTCTTAATACTTAACTTTAGAGAGAGAAACATTGATTTGTTGTTCCATGTATTTGTGCATTCATTGGTTGATTCTTTTTTTTAAAGATTTTATTTATTTATCTTTAGAGGGGAAGGAAAGAAGAGAGGGAGAGAAATATCAGTGTATGGTTGCCTCTCATGGGTCCCCTACTGGGAACTGGCCTACAACCAGGCATGTGCCCTGACTGGGAATTGAACTGTGATCCTCTGGTTTGCAGGCCCGTGTTCAATCCACTGAGCTATACCAGCCAGGGCTTCATTGGTTGATTCTTATATGTGCACTGACCAGTGATCGAACCCATACCTTGGGGTATCAGAATCATGACCTAACCAATTGATCTATCCAGCCATCTTTCTGGTGAATGTTTTATCTGCACTTCAAAAGAATGATGTTCTGCCTTGCTATATGTGTGTGATGTTAGTTGAGTCAACATAGTTGACTTGTTCAAGTTTTCTGTATCCTATTGATTTTCTGTCTACTTATTCTGTTTATTGAGAGGAGTGCTGGAGTTTCCCAACTGTAATTGTGGATTTGTGTATTTCTGCTTTCCTTTTTGTCATTTTCTGTTTCGTATATTTTGAAGCTGATACTAGGTTAATATATATGTAGGACTATTATGTCTTTTTGAGTCATTGAACCCTTTATATTTTTGAGATGTTCTTTCATATCCCTGGTAATATCTCTTGTTCTGAAATCTTCATTGCCCTATACTAATAAAGCCTCTCTAGCTTTCTCAGTTAAAGTTGTATAGTATAAACCCTAGAGAAACTCCCAGGGGGAAAAAAGAGGTGTAACTTGTAATGGGAACAATAGAGATACAGAAAGTAAATACAGGGATGGTAAATTTAAACCCAGTGAACAAATAATTACATTAAATATAAATGGTCTAAACATTCCACTTAAAAGGAAGAGATTGTGAGACTGAGTTTTTTTTTTTAAAGCAGGATTTAGTTATATGCTACCTACAAGAAATACGCTTTAAATATAAAGACACAGATTAAAGGTAATAGGATGGAAAAAGGTACACCAGGTAGCTATTCTTGATCATTTTAATGTATTAATATTTAAGGTTTTTAAAATGTCATCTATCAATCCAGACATGAATCATCATGAGTTTTAAAATGCAAAGTATTTTATAGCTAGTTTATTTCCCCAAAAGACTCCCAGGTAATGAAGCCAGCAAGCATTGTTACTTTGCTTCACATGCAGAACTACTGGGAAGCTTTCTGAGAAATTTTCTGTTAGGCAGTTCATTGTTGTGGAAATATCAGAGTGCACCGAAACAAACCTAGGTGACAGACACACCAAGCTCTATGGTATAGCCTGTTGCTCTGTAAAGAAGGAAAAATAGTTTTTCCTTTACCCTACTGGGTTCTGGGCTGAGACATCCCTGTAATAAAAGACAGATCAACAGAGAAAAACAAACAAAAGTTTAGTAACATGTCTACCTTCTGTATACGAAGGAAAGACCCAGGAAAACTGAGTAACTCAAAATGGCTGATGCTGCTGCCTTAAGTACCATCTTCAGCTGAAAACAAAAGGAGATGTTGTGTTAGTTATGGGAGGTTTCCCGGAAAAGCACAGTAAAACCAGGGTAAGGCTGTCATGCATATTGAAATCCTCTTTTGCACTGAGTTCTAGATAAAAGATCAATAAAGTCATTCCCTTTTTCCTAGTGTCTGTGTACCCTTGTAAGTGGAGATTTCCCTTACAAATGGGTCTTTTACAAAGGATAACTTCTAATTTGTTTTTAGAACTCATTCCATGTTTGTACTTTTGTAAAGTTAGCCAACCCGAAATAATCCTCACACCAAATACACATATATTGGGGTGACAGATTCTATTCCCCTATATCTCCTAGGCTACAAACCTGTACAGCATGTTACTGTACTGAGTACTGTGAACAGGGGCAAGTGTTTGTGTAATGTGTTAGGATGGCTGTAGGTATCATCAGGCAATAGACATTTTTAGTTCCATTAGAAGCTTATGGGACCACCTCATACATGCAGTCCATCGTTCTGATCAGAGTGTCTTGGGGTACCTGCATGTTTTGTGCTTTTCATAAAACCTCACATGTACGTACTTGATAATTTACAGCTGACCTGTGAACCATGCAGGGGTGCCCTCCGAGCCTCCCACAGGGAAAAAAAAAACAGCCTGCTGTTGACCAGAAACCTTACTGGTAACATAAAACAATTGATGAACACAGATTTTATATGTTATAGGTATTATATCACATATTCTTACAATAAAATAAGTTAGAGAAAGTACATTTACACTATACAGCATTTATTGATATTCTAAGTTTATGTCATCAGTTTATAAGATGAATCACCTTCGTTGCCTATGTCGGTACTATCTTATACAATACAAAGCATGTATGTATTTAACATCACTAACACTAGACTTCAGAAATGAAAAGATAACATGAAAAATTTATAGGTATAACAATTCATGCTAAAACAATGAAGTAGCAATATGATCCTTTTGTGATAGTGCAACAGTTTTCACCTTTTCTCATCTCGTTACACACATAAGTTACTAAAATTCTGTGGCACAGAAATTTTTGTCGATCTGACCAAAAAAAAAATAGGTATCATTTTTATCTATTTACACTGGGTGGCTTGTTGTGTTTGCTGTTGTCTTTTTTTTTCTGTTTAACTTTTCACCTGAGGATATATGTACTGATTTTAGAGAGGGAGGACGGTAGAGAGAAAGAGACATTGATCTCTTGCCTCCTGTTTGATCCCTACTGGGATCAGACCCGCACACCAGGTACTGTGCTCTGACCAGAGATGGAACCCATAACCTTTGGTGCACAGGACAATGCTCCAGTTGAGCCACCTGGCCAGGGCTGTTGGCAATTTTTTTTAATTTGAAAATCTAACAAAATAAGTCAGTGCCCCTGACTACTCAGGTGTTGCCTGTTTTAATAAAAATTCTTGAGGCACACACTTCAAAACTGCTGGCCTGGCACAATCACCAGGATTGCTTCCCAGTAGCCCAGCCTGTACACCAGTGAGTCGTTGTAAAGTTTTTATGTCATTCAGTGTTCCAGTCATTTTCATAGCATAGTATCAGAAACGCTATGTTTTAAAAAAAATAAATTTTATTGATTATGCTATTACAGTTGTTCCATCCCCCCCCTTTATTCCCCTCTGCCCTGCACACTCACTCCCACCCGCATTCCCCTACTTTAGTGCGTGTCAGTGGGTCATACATATAGGTTCCTTGGTTTCTATATTTCCTATACTATTTTTAACTTCCCCATCTGTTTTCTACCTACCATTTATGCTACTTATTCCCTGTACCTTTTCCCCCTCTCTCCCCCTTCCATTCCCCCACTGATAACCCTCCATGTGGTCTCCATTTCTGTGATTCTGTTCCTGTTCTTGTTTGCTTAGCTCATTTTTGGGGTTTTTATGTCTGTTTGTTTATTTTTAGGTTTGGTTATTCATAGTTGTGCATTTGTTGTCATTTTACTGTTCATATTTTTTATCTTCTTTTTCTTAGATAAGTTTCTTAAAAAAACCTGCTTAACCTGTGATGATAGGCTGATGTACAGTTTTTCCAGTTATGAGAGAGGCAAACTGTATGGTAATATAATTCCTTGAAAGCAAGCTTATAAAACAGGAAGGCAACTAACATGTTGTTATATTTTATATTAAATATCACTCTCTTTATGCCTGTGGAAGGATACTCTCTCCACTTCCGTATCAGTCTTGTGCACGATGTTTCACATGATGCCCACTTAGGCCGTGGTACGACCATGACCGACATTGTTACATCCTATCACATTTGCTGTACATTTACTAGAGTTTTCACATGAAAGCACATACAGTAGAGAAGTTTATTAACTGTAAGCATGAAGATTACTTACTATTCATAAAGTAGAAGTGGATTATCGTGAAGGTCTTTATCGTCGCTACCTTCACACTGAGTAGACTAAGGAGGAGGAGCAAGGTGGGGTTGGTCTTGCTTTCTCAGGGGTGCAGAGGCAGAAGAGGTGGAAGGGGAGGCAGAAGAGGCAGGCACACTCAGTGTGGCTCTGTGGAAATAAATCCTAATTTCTATCTGGCTT